CCCAGCTCGCCCCGCCCCCCGCTCCCCGTGAGCCCCAGTTTGGATCCCGACCCCTGCCTGCTCCTGGCTCCCCGGACCCCCAACCCCCCAGCCCTCCTTTTCATGAACCCTCAGTGACTTGGGCCACCTGGGCGCTCGCCGTCCCTGGGGTTTAAGAGCGGGCGTGGTGGCGCACGCCTGTATATCAGTAGTCGTAGGGCTGAGGCAGGAGGATCGCGCGAGTTCCAGGGCGGCCTGCGCTACACAGTGAGTTCAAAGCCAACCTGAGCTAAGTAGCGAAACCTTGTCTCAAAAAAAAAAGAAGTAGGAGAGGGGCGGATGGGAGGGCGGATGGGGAGGGGCGGAGAAGAGGGGCAGAAGGAAGAGCAGAGGCGAAGAGGAGGAGGGGGGAGAGGAAGAAGAACGGTTTTCTGGTTCGTTCAGGACACGCAACCTTGCGGGGACCCTGGCCCCTCCCGCGGTCCTCAGGTGGGCGGCCGGCGACAGCGCTCTAGGGCGACCCAGTGTCCCTAACCCTGAGCGCTACCCTCGAAGGGGCTAACTTGCTGTACCCCGCCCCTGGCTGATGGGTGACCCCAGGCCTTGAGCCGCTCCTGGGACCTGGGAGGAGTGACGATGACCGAGGTGTGTGTGTGGCCGGGAGCTTTCTAGTAGAACAGCGCACCTCAGTGACAGCGTGGGGACGGTCCCCCAGCTCGGGGAGGAAGGTCTGGGCTGGGCACCACCCACCCCAGCGTGGCAGGCGTGGAGGCGGGGTCAGGGCAGCCTGAGGTCAGCGGGCTGGAAGCAGCCGGGAGGGGACAGGGTTGGGGCCAAGGCCAGGGCCTGGGTTTTAGCTCAGTGACCTGGGGGAAGGGTTTGTAGCTGAGGGCTTTGATCTACTCTGAATTTTTATTTCCATGCGAGGGATGGAACTCGGCTCCCCAAGACTTAGGCTGTGAGCTACCACTGAGCCACACCCCCGACTCTTTGAGTTACTACCGTTATTACTATTACTATTACTATTATTTTCGGTGCTAAAAGTATGGTGAACAGAAGGGATTCCCAGGCATGGTCTTCCCAGTGTCTCAGTGTTTATGACTCTCCTTAACCCCGGCCCCTGGGAAGGTGGCTGTATTTGGAAATTGCACCTTTGAGGATGTGGCCCAGTGAGACCTGTCCTGCTGGTTGGGTTGGGGCTAATCCGTGTCCTTGGAAGAGAGGGGTTTGGACGCGCAGAGGCCTAGGGGAGGCCTTGTGTGCACTCCGGTGGCCTAGTTGGGCTGGACCTGACACCAGGAGCGGCCCTGGAGCCTTCGGAGAGAAGCTGGGCGGCCAGGAGTGGAGGAGGAAGTGGGTGGTGATAAATGTGTGTCTGAGGTTTCAGCCATCCAAATATTTAGCAATCTGTTAAGGCTGCCAGATACTTACATTTTTAAAATTTCGATGCAATTTCAGCCAGGCGTGGTGGTGCGCACCTGTAATCCCAGCACCCTGGGAGACTGAGGCAGGAGCGTCAGGATTCCAACCTGGGACGTTTAGCGGCTTAGCAATACTCTGCCTCAAACCCAAAAGGGCTGGGGATGTGTGAAGGCCCGGGGTTCAACTCCCAGCACCCCCACCCCGCCCCACCCCCACCGCCAAAGAAAAGAAAGAAGATGTGATTTCAGTACGAGCAGTAGGAAGAGTTACCAGGTCCCACTATCAGATCCTGCAAATACTAATATTTGTGCTGCGTTCCTCTCTCCCCCTCCTCACCACACCCTGCCTGTCTGGTTTCTGTGTCATCCCAAGTGATGTCTCTTTACTCCCTCAGTTTCTAAAAATAAAGAATCACATCCCGTAGAGTCAGGAGCCAGCACTGAGGTGGGACCATCCCTGACCTCCAGCCCCTGCTCCGTTGCCCCGACCTCTGCCCTATCCTTTCCAGCAAGTCCCCAGAGGAGCTCTGTGATCCGGGCTCCTGCCTTCCACCCCGGACATTTATAACGGTTCCTTGGTCTCTCTTTGTATTTCAAGGCATCGGCAGTGTTGGAGCGTTACAGGCCGGGGTATGGTAAGGTGTTTGATTTTGACTTGCCTGATGTTTCCCAGGGGATGCTGAACCTGGGGGGGATTGGGGTACCAGAGACTGAGCCCAGGGACTTCACAGTGAGCTACATCCCCAGCCCTTTTTATTTTTTTACTTCGAGGCAGGGTCTCCCTCAATTGCCCAGGCTGTGCTCAAACTTGCAGTCCTCCTGCCTCAGCCTCCAGAGTGCTGGGATCATGGTGTGCGCAACCACGCCTGGCCGGGATGATGCACTTTGTCAAAACAGCCACGGGAGGCTGCCAGCCAGCGTGAGGCCCGCGCTGCGTCTCCTTGATGATGAGGTTAACTCTGGTCCTCTGGGAAAGGCATGGCCAGCGATTTTCTTCACTGGGAAGCTTCCCGCCTACTCCTTGTGATTAACAAGTATCTCGTGGGAGATACAACCCTGGAGCTATGCTGTGACTTCCCCACCTTTTACTTTCTTTGTTCGTTTGTCATGTTAGTGGCGGTTGAACCCAGGGCCTTTGCACTGAGCTACATCCTCAGCCCTTTTTGTGCTTTTTATTTTGAGACAGGATCCCAGTAAATTGTAACTTGTAACCCTCCTGCCTCAGCCTCTCAGATGGCTGGGATTACAAGTGTGCACCTCCACAGCTGGTTTATCACTCTCTGGTTTTAACACTTACTGATGAGTTGTCTGAGTGAATTTTTCTTAACATAGCTGCTCTGTGGTCACTTCTGCAGGCTCACCTGTGTCCCTGGCACTGCGTGTAGGAATGGGACTCTGTTGTTTTATTATTATGACTATTATTTTGAGACAGGGTCTCACTATGCAGTTCAGGCTGGCCTTGTGCTCACTATGTAGCCCGGGCTGGCCTAGAACTCGTGGCAATCCTCCTGTTTCAGCCTCCCAAGTACTGGGATTATAGTCACATGCCACCGTGCCCAGCAGAATGGGGGTGTATATGGAGACAGGGTTTTTAAAGAGACAGTTACGCTAGAAAGAGATCACTGGGATGGGAGACGCGGGGAAGACCCTGCTACTGCGTGGTGGACCTGACAGATTGGCTCCAAGTTCTTGTGTGCCGCAGGCAATGAGTAGCAAAGCGTACACTCAAGGTGGGGAAAGTGGCTGTGTTTATGAAGGTCACGGACGGAGAAACGGACGACCAAACAGGCACACTGCGAGCCGTCTGGGTACGCGAGGCTGTCGGGCTCGAGAGGCGGACAGGAGTGAAAGGGCTTGCCTGCGCCTCGGTCTGGGGTTCCCTGGAAGGCTCCTGCGGTGACAGTGACTATGGTGACAGGTGTCAGTGATGTCCGAGCTCACGGAGGGGTGGGGAGCGGTGGGAGAGAGATTAGGGAGGGCTGGCCTGAGGGCGGTGCTCCGCTGAGCTCTGCTTGGTGCAGGGGAGTGGCTTTTGCAGCCCCCGGGATCCTGTCTGTTCTAACCATGTAAGCACACAGACATGGCGGCTGAGCCAGCCAGGGAGAGGCCTTGAGCGCCTTGGTCCCAACCCCCAGCCCCTGGCACCGTGGGACGAGAGTTTCTGCCATGAGGCCTCGGGTCTGCGGCTTCACTGTGACTGCCCTGAGGCAATGGCGCTGTCCACTCAGGTGAGCCCGGGAGCTAACCCAGGAGCAAGGCTGACCTGCCAGGTGTCTGTCCTGAAGCAAAGCGAGACTTTAAGACACACCTAGCACACAGAGCCCAGAGTGGCTGTGATTCCTTCAGTTCCGAATCAAATAGCAGGGCTTAGCCCAGCCTTCCCTGCCGAGGAAGACGTAAATAAACGTTCCACCTTCATTTGCTTTGTATTGTTGTTGTCGTCTGCTGGTTTTTGGATTTTCGAGACAGGGTCTCACTCTGTAGCCCAGGCTGACCTTAAAATCTGAGCCATCCTCCTGCCTCAGCCTCCCAAGTGCTGGGATTACAGACAGGAGCTTCCACATCTGGCTCTTTCATTTGCCTTTTGTTGACTCAAAAAATCCCTGTCTGGAGGTCATACAGCTGGGCTGCCCAGCGTTAGTGTCCCCCTGGATTTGCCATGGGAAGCACCTCAGCTGTGTGGGCCATGAGAGCAGTTGCCTGGGCTCCTTTTGGGGGACCTGAAGTCCACTTTGGCTGAGAACAGACTCTGCACTGGGCCTGCAGACCTGAACCTTGGGACAGACCTCTGCGTGTGGACATATTAGGCATCCAAGGAGCGCTGTGACGGGGAGTGTTAATACGAGGTTGATTTGATCTGAACTTGCCCAGTCTTCCTTCCCCCCACAACTGCGGACACGAAGAACA